CCGGACTTGTGATCAGTTCCGTTGTAATGGCAGAGTAACACTAAAAGTAAAAATCAATCATAACACTATATTTCGTATTGTGCTATATTTGAAATTCAATGCTACTGAATAAAAAAATCAATTGCAAGTCATACCACTTTATTTTGTATGAATGTTACTAAATAATAAACATTTAATTCTTTTTCAATAAATAGATTAAGAATTTAATGAATAATATTCCGAATTCATTTATTAATATACAGTCATACTTGGACCACAGAACATTTCTGTGCACAGGGCGCCACCATGCGCCGAACAATAGCACGTGTTACAACCATCTGTCGCCCGGAAGCTGTCGCCCGCCCAGTACGTCTTACCGTTATAATGGCAACCGCCTGTCTGAGGGACGGTAGTCGTGGTCATCATCTCACCTACATTAAATCAAGGTATTTTACATGAGCTTAACATAAATTCTTTGATTCCAAAAATTCCCCCTCCAAAAGTTACCCCAATCCCTTCAGAATATGTCTAATTTTCAGCTTGGAATATCATCAGTGTATCAGATCCTTCTAGTTGTGATTGAGTAAATTGTCCTTACGTTTGCGTACAGGTTGTGGGGCAGCTGTTGTTGTTTCGGTGCCAACACATGCCATTTCTGTACAGGCTGACCCGTGTAGTGTACACAGACACATTGGGTGAAAAAAGTGGTTTCCCATCATGGGAAACTTTATGGAAACCACATGGAAACCTCAAGTTTACATCATGTTTCCCAGTGGTTTCCGTAGCGGATGCTAGGTTATTCCGCCAAGTTTCCGTGACACCGAAACCCCCTACGCTCCGATTCCATAAGGTATCCCGAACCACGGAAACCTCTGTAAACCTGAAGTTTCCCGAACATCCATGTAGTTTCCCGTAATGGGAAACCTGAAGATTCCACTGGTTTCCAGAATCAGGAAACTTGATGGAATCGGAGCGTAGGGGGTTTCCGTGGAATGGAAACTTGGGGGAATCTCTAGGTTTCCTTTTACGGGAAACTACATGGAAGCTCGGGAAACCTCACGATTCCTAAAGTTTCCACAACTCAGGAAACCATATGGAATCGGAGCGCAGTGGTTTCCGTGGAATGGAAACTTGATGGAATCTTTAGGTTTCCTTATACGGGAAACTACATGGAAGCACGGGAAACCTCACGATTCCTAAAGTTTCCTCGACTCAGGAAACCATATGGAATATGAGTGTAGTGGTTTCCGTGGAATGGAAACTTGATGGAATCTTAAGGTTTTCTTTTATGGGAAACTACATGGAAGCTCGTGAAACCTTATGATTCCTGCAGTTTCCTTGACTCAGGAAACTATATGGAACTTGTGTAACACTTTCTGTGTGACGGAAACTTGGTGGAATTATCTGGAGTTCCATTCCTGGTGGAAATTACTGGGAAACTTCAAGATTCCCTAACTTTTCTAAAGGAAGCAATGTGAAATAATGTGTATTCTTTTAAAAATCTATCAAAAAAATTTATTACATGTAAAAGAAAAAAGCATTACCATTTTATATGTTTAATAATTCATTTGATGTACAAAAACTGTAACTGAATTTTTCAATGATATCAAAATATTAAATAAATCCATATATCTTAGATAAACTATGGAACAGTCTTTCACATTTAAGTCCATTCATAAGGGTCATTAAGTACTTCTTTCAACATCAGTTTCCTGGTTTTCTTCACATCACCTTTGATCTGCAATATTCATACAAAATTATTTTATGATGTCAGAATTATAATGCTTGAATATAACTTAGAAATCTGAAAGATCAGCCAATGTCCTTTAATATACCAATATCAATAATTACTTTCCATGACCATGATACGTATGATTTCAGCATTTAATGTATCTCTTTAATATTTAATGCTTTATGATAAGTGAAATAAAGTGCCACGCCACAGCATGATACGCCCGTCAAAAAATTACAATTATAATGCATCTTAAACAGTTAAAAGTGCAGAAAAAATCATGTCAACCTTGATTTTAAGATTTCAATGATTTTTACACACCTTAAAAATTTGTTTATCCATCTTCTGTGGTGTAGGCATTAATTATGACAAATATTGCATCATTCATAGATTTCTATACCTTGCCAAATGCCTATCATATTAAATAATATCAAATTAGTCTTCACAACTTAATCTAAACCTAATTAATTTTGGAAATAAAAAGCTGGCCATCAAATATAAACTGGCCAAGAGTTCTTCTGTCTAATTCCCGAAGGATACAGATAATACCATGCTCTGAAGAAATGAAAGAGACATGCAGCAAGCCTTCCTACATTGAACACATTAATTAATCTTTAACTGGATGCTTGTCTTCCATTACTCCCAAAAGATTATTGGATCTGCACTATCTACCATAAAACATTTTTAAAACATATAAAACATCAATGATTTTTTTTTTTTAGTTTAATGTCAGACAATTAATTATTAATATGCAATTCATATGGACGTGCAAATTCCACCCCTACCCCCATAAAATTAATTTTTAAGTTCATAATATTATGTAACATCAAAATAGTTTAATATGCAATATCAAATTAGTTTTAATTACTTCTCATCAAATTCATTTTAAAACTTCAGCTAGCCAACAAGAGCTATTTTTAATCCAACAGGCTTACCCATTTGGCCCAATATTCAAGGGATATAGATAGCCCGATGCTCTTACAGCTACTCCTCACACTAAACTCATTAATTTCTCTCTCTAATTTGACATGCAATTTTCTGTTATCAAATTCTTCTGACCAGTGCTTGATAATTAGACTCATGGGAGTGGTGGAATTTCTCTAACATACATTATATTTGTTAAAGATTGCTGTCAAGTATATGCTAAAAAAATAAGTATTTTCTTGATTTAACATTTTTCTAATAAGGTTAGTGCAATAGTTTTACATTTTTTTGAATAATGTAAATGAATAGAAAAAAAAGACATTTTTTTTTAAAATTATACTTAAATAAAAGGTCACAGTGACCTTGAAATAGGTCACGACACACCTTCTACCTAAGATGCATAAACTGGCCAAGTTGGATGATCCTAAGTCTAATAGTTTTCGAGTTATGGACCGGACAGGATTTTTCCATATTTGGCTATAACTTTTTAATTATAGGTCAGAGCGACCTACTTTCTGTGTGCGACACACCTTCTACCCAAGATGTATCAGCTGACAAAGTTTGATAACTCTAGGCCTTATGGTATTAAAGTTATGAGCCGGACACGAGAAAAGCTAACAGACGGACGGACGGACAGACGGACAGACAGACGGACACGAAGCCTATAACATAATACGTCCCGTCTTAAGACGGGCATATAAAAAAAATAACATAAGGCCAAGCTTAAAAAATTCTTTGTTTGCAGTTGCCGACCTATAATTTTTAGTCTGAGTAGGTAGGTAGGCAATTTTTTTTTTTTTTTGAAAAAAAAATATTTCCAGATCTTTGTTAGATAACATAAAATAAAGTTTTTCATAGGCCTACTTTACATGAATAAGCTGCACTCTTGGTATGATTGATAAAGAAAAAAATTGAAAATGAAACAGTTTTAATATCCTGAAAAATTGGAGAGAAAAAAAATATTACAAAATGGCTAAAAAAAAGTTTGGGTCGGGTGCATTTTCAGTGGGTCTGTCGGCAACTGCAAACAAACAATATTTTATTTTAGGCCTAATATAAATAATGTTTTCAGCCTTATTATGTCATTGAGAATATATTACTACATGTATCTCATACTAAGAACCCTGCTTTAAGTTTGATTAGTTTGAGAGAAAACATACTCTTTATAATAACAAAAATATTTGGGAGAGATTTTTTTTTATTTTGATATTCGACCTAGAAATTGGTTGAAGATCATTGCAGACCCTCCACGGAGTCCACCCCATTGCACAAAAGCTAGATTACACCAGGCAGGGGAGAAATATACTCTGGACTACGATTTTAAATAAAGATATACAGTAGATTTTGATACTGACCTTTGACCTAGAAAATTGGTCCAAGGACACTCTTCATCCACTATCCACAGGCTCTCTGTAGTTTAAGTTTGAGAGAGAAATATGCTCAGAACAAGTGATATCAGATGGAGTGATGGGTAGACACTGTCTTAGGGCATCCACAGAACAGGACCTAAAAATAATGCAATATATATGTATTACAGTATAGATACACATGTACTTGTATATTAATGATTTATCATATGCTGCATTGGACACATATGATTTTATCATGGTTTAAGTATACATGCATCTTATGAGTAATTTTATACCGGTATTGCATGTACGCTCAGTTTATTTAAGAAATAAATAACAAGTTTATAAACTTCAATGGGAGAGATACCACAAATGTATATATAAACAAGTAATTTAATTTTTTTTTTACATATATTGTCCAACATTATTTACAATCCATTCATCATGTTCATAAATTGGCTGATCAAAATTCAGTCAGTTTTAGATCTATATGATATACCATAAAGGATTTTCACATTTACAAAAGTTATTCCCCTTCGCAGGGTCGATCTGGGGTCAACCGGCTTAAGACGCTGTTTTCCGTCTTTAACCGTATCAACTTTGAGGGACAATATCTTAGAAATAAAATCAATATGAACATATTCATTATGATTTTCATGTTGCCCCCATACTCTGCCAATACAGATACAGATTGTAATTGTCCAATATTTTTGAAGATTGAAAATATTAACAAGTAACTTACAAAGGACAAAGTGGGAAAAATGAGCGATACGCCAACAATTGGAGAAAACTCTTAGGAATGTGAAATTCGTCTATTGGTGAAGACAATTCCTGTTTTAATGTCACTCAAAAATTAAGAGACATTAAAAATTTAAGCCCTATTGTCATACACGCATGCTGTTTTTTATCCATATAACCTTTTAGTATCATAAAATCTACCAAAATTTAATACTTCAAATAATTTCATTGAATATCTTTAAAATAAAGGAAACTCTAAAAACTTAGTGACTTGCAGAAATTATTCCTTGGAGAGAAAAAAATCTATCATATTTCATATAAATATGTGCATAATGAGCCTTTTTTATTCATTTAGAACATACGGTATGTGCCTCATTTCCCCAAGAAATTTTTAAAGACAATGGACTATCTGTAAGCAGAAATAATTGCTGTTTATTTACATTGGAAAAATTTATGAAAATAATTAATTTCCTATTTTTTTGATTTTAAATAATTCTTAAAATAATTTAATCTATTAAAAATAATCTGACTGTAAAATAACATTTTTCATAATCTTAATCTATGGGCAGATCACTCTAACTTCATAAAACTAACTGATATTAAAGTAGAACTCTTTAGTGTGCAGTTTTTAGAGCTTCCTTTAAGTAAACAAAATACTGACCAGCAAGAAATCAGTTAATAAGCATTTCCTTTTTTTCATTCAAATTTTTGGAGAGATCTCAGAGTTTTTTCCTGTTCAATTCAGGTTCGAGACGACAAAGTTTTATTGAAGTGTATGTGTTAGAGAACTGATTGTATGTCAATCATAGCAATACACACATAACATGGAGGGGGCAAATTGTTTCAGCCCTAGCTTTTACATAAAACTTCTTGTAGCTCACAGCTGATATACCACAGTTCAGTATTTAAATAAAATTTAGAATCTTTTTTTCACGCAATTGTCATATACATACGAATCATGAATGAATTACCACTTACCAAATGACCACATCCTGAATCATCATACATTTTCTATGATTTTATCTCACTGGTTTTCTTTTAAAGTCACACAGTTTTCTTCTCTCTGAAATGATAAATTATGTCCAGGTACTATTGCATTCTAATTTAAACTAATTATGTAATAGCAGTAGCAACAACCGGAATGGAAGAAAAAATAACCAGAAGTCTCTGTCGAGACTGCAGCTCTACTGGTTTGTACTTATCAAAAACTGATGCACAGAATTATGTATCTTAGTATAGTCTACTTGTGTGCCAAGTTATATTGAAATCAGACTAAAATTTAAGGAGTAGTGTTTGCAGACAGACGGACAGACAGACAGCTAGACGGACGCCGGACGCTTTACTATCGCATAAGCTCTACTGGTCAGAGACCAACAAAACAAGATGCGCTTGTGAAACACAGCAACAAAGTTCGAAAAAGCAATTTTTTTAGCATACAGGTCACAGTCAAGATCACTGACACATAATCATTGTCCTTGTTGCCATTTGAAAGCACTTCATTAGTGGAGTATGCATACTAAAGTAAATATGAAGCCACTATCTCGACGTATAGTTCTAAAGTTATGGTGAAGGTTTAAGTTGACAACAGACACTCAGATAGACACACAGATATACAGTTATGGCAAAAGTTTGAACATTATAACTTGGTATACACACAGCCACTTCGAGGTATCAAGGGTAAAATTCACAGCACAGTGGGACTGCATTTTGACTTCGAGGGATCAAGGGTTTCAAGAGATCAAGAGTTCGAGAAATCAAGAGCAAATCTGCTTAGTTATATAGTGGAAAAAATCGGGACAAGAGACTCACTTCAAGCGATCAAGAACTCGAGAAATCAAAGTTCAAGCCATCAAGAGTTACCTGTATATACTCAGAAGCATGTTATTAGCAATTTTTAATGACAGCTAAAAGGACAATTTAATTTGACATGATTAACAGACACTCAAGTTTGTAATAAACAGACACACAGATATACAGTTATGGCAAAAGTTTGAACATTCATAACATACTATCAATATTAATTCACTATTAGGATTTTCTTTTTTTACATCTTCATCTCAACAGGTTAGACATTACAAAAAAAAATCTTTTGAGCAGTAAACTATTTCAATAAACAATAAAACAAACCTAATCTCTTCAGAAAAGAGGACAGGCTTTCACCTACATTCACTTTTTTATGTATATTTTCCCTTCATATCATCGTCATGCATATGATTAAGGGTTATGCTATTCGCTACAATCTGTTCTGATGAGGATATCCTTCATGAATAATCGGATAAGCTGAGATTGAAGACACTTTTTGTAAAAATATCGATGCTTTTATCAAAGTTTTGAACCAAAAATATTTAATTTATACCTTGCCATAAGTCGTAAGTTCCAAGAGTTGGCTCCCAAAAGTCAGAAACACATGTGGTATTCAAACCGGATGTTATACAGTCTGAATTTAATTACGAAACCATGTTCGGTGTAACTATTATCATCCGGATAATTTGAGCGGGGTTTAAAATATTTTTTTTTAAATTCCGAAAATTATTCATTTATATATAGAGAGAGAACATACACATGGCGCATACATTTTAATAAACATGATAAAAGGCGAAACGTTGAAATTTTACAACATACAGCATGCACATGCACGGTGCCTTCATAATATACATGTAAGTTATGCTATATCAACGTCTCAAATTTCTCTCTCTCTCTCTCTCTCTCTCTCTCTCTCTCTCTCTCTCTCTCTGCAATATATACACTTAACAATTTAAAACTTAGGTATCCTACTTTTCAAAATGGCGTCAGAACAAAAGTTGCCTCCGATAGTGAAGATTTGTTGTTGCCAAATATTACAACTATTTACCGTAAAAAGTTAACAAAAATATACGTACACTAATCCTTCATCGTTGGCCATTGCATTTATCACAGTCTTAAAGACGCTGGGTGGTGAAACCATCTTAACTTTTCACATTTACCAGCTGCTTACACCTTCTTCTTCGTCCTTCTCGATCCTCCAAAAATGGCGCCTCGGTAAATTGACCAATGAAATAAAGCGCCTACAGAGCGATGCAGGATGGGAAATATAATCTGTTTACATTCACTATGATTAAGTGTGATTATGAGATCTTATATTAGAATTTAATTAAGTTTTCCCCTTTTCATGGAATAAAAAGAGGGGCTCCTAAATATTTTTGCCGATATGATGTGTAGGCCTAGTATATTTAGAAAAAAAAAACGGTTAAATACATGAGGCAAGAGCAGAAAAAAAAAATGTTTCTTGCTTGACACCTCAACTTATTTGCCTTCGGGATATGGGTTTCGGGGCTTGGTTGTTGGTAGTGGCCGTCCTTGCTGAAAGTAACCCCCCCCCCCCCCCACACACACACACACCTCTCCCAGCTTCTTTTAACTGTTACATGTATGATTATGAATTTATAATGTCACACCAAAAGATGTTAAATTTTTAAAAGCACATTTTTTTTTTATTGCGAACTTTCCACAGGAATCCTAAAAGGCATGAAAATAAGCTACAATTATAATATGATTATCAAGAACAGTTTTTTTATTTCAATAGTGCACTGTAAGAAATGTGTTTAGAATTCAAACACTTTTCTAAACACTTTTTTGTCACCTTCTTTTTTATATGTTTAATTCCTAAACATGTTTAGTTTCTAAACACGTATGAGAAAGTGTTTAGAATGGAAGCACATAAGTGTTTAGATTCTAAACACTTTCTTATACATGTTTAAATATTTTACATGTTTAGGAATTAAACATATAAAAAAGAAGGTGACAAAAAAGTGCTTAGAAAAGTGTTTGAATTTTAAACACATTTCTTAATTATGTGCTTAGAAATTAAACATATCTAAATTTAACAAATTAAAACAAGTGTAACTGCAGAAAAACTATAAACACGTGTAAATTTTGGCATAAAGAGCATACTAGTATTACTTAATACTGTACACATAATATTGTCAAAATTTTCAAAATATTAACCGATATAAATTATTCATATTAAGACCTCTGATTGTTTAGATATGTAGATACTTTACAATCCTGTGATGTTCTTTTTACACAATTAAATTTAATATTTTGATCTCTACAAGTTCAATCAGCATGACATACATATATATATTTAAAACGCAGGGATGAGCAACAAAAATAAAAAAATTGGTTAGCAAATTTTTATCAAAACTTCCTTTAATCTTTTTAATAATGCATTTAAGACGTTTCAATGAAAATTATAAAATATTTATTTTATATAATATAATATAATATAATATTTTGTATATGATAAATTACAGTGTCAATCGGTTTCAGAGTGTTCCAAAGGGCAGTCATCGAAATGTCAAAGTTGATTAACTTTTAGCAGTCCTAAAGCACTACATAGTACCACATGATATAATATCCCATCACTAACTGCCGAAAAATAATCCATTTCAAATGCACAAGGATAATCACAAAATGATAATTTTAGGTACATGTATTCAAATCCGCCGAACATTGTCAAATTAAGGGTACCCAATACACTTCATAAAAATACTTTTCTTAGTGTTGATCATGGAACAACAATTTGCACTTGAAGATGACGCCATGCAGGTACTTTGATACATGCATGCTTTGAGTTCAATCCGGACTACTCACATAACCTGTAGGAAAGAAAGTCAGATTTAAGTTAACCGTATGCTGCCCATTGACGATGACATCAATTTTTCAAGTTGCATTGGAACTATACTTAAATTAAAATAGTTATATTTAATGAATTCGATACAACCTCCTCTCCTACAGTTCTATAAACGACCTCAAAGGCACTGTTTACATTGCTCATCGTGGTTTAATGATGCAAATCTTAATAAAAAGAAAACATACTTTTGATATACCGCAGTAAAAAGATGTCTTTTAAATGGTTTTTCAATAATTCTTCGTGGTTATCCGTTGGGTTGTCAGTATCTCTCCTTGATACGTCCCTTTACCTTTTTGTGTTTTTCTTTGTTTCGATGGCCGCTCAAATTAACGTTCAAATATATGAGTATTTGTGTCATTTCCGGGAAGATAACTCTGCATTTTACAACAGAACGTGTTTAATTTCTAAACACATTTAGATATAAAACAGGTTTAGACATAAGTGTTTAGTTGTTAAACATATTTCTATACATGTTTAGATCTAAACACGTCATGGAAGTGTTTATTTCCTAAACACAATTTTTACAGTGTGATGATTGAAAAGTTCGGTGTTTAATTCATTGCTAATAAATTGTTGTGTTTTTTTGGGGGGGGGATTAAATTACTAATCGAACTCCCTCCTTTTCGGGGTTTAATTGGATTTTGAGGTTGCTATCAATATTACTGGTGGACCTGCTAGACTTTTCTCTAATTGCTACATATACATTGTACTTTAACATGTTTAAACTCCTTGGCCTTTAGCTAAAAGAATTTCCCACATCATTTTAACACGTAAAATTGTTAAATGAATCAGAATGTTGAAAACCTTTTTCTTAGGAGAGTTATATCTCTAGGTGGAACAAAACTAACATCTAATCAAAGGCAGAAAATATAACAGTATTTTAATTCAATATTTTAGTCGTGATTGGTATAAGTGAAGTCATGGGAAAGATGTCGAAATTCATCTATACTCGTTGATGTGCAGGGCTGTACTTATGCATACAGCTTTAGCTGGTCCCGCCCTGCATTTCTTTTAATGTTTTTTTTTTCGTTAAGAAATCTGGTAAGGTATGCTAGTAAAAATAAAATCCCTGTTAGTTTATTACTCTTTCGGAAATTACTTTCCTACAGGCCTGAAGATCGAGTCTATTAGTCACGCAAGTTTTTTTTATAAAAAGAGTAGCATGTCGGCGAATAAAAATAAAGTAGTGTACACCATAGATAAAGAAATGTTTGTTGAAGTATTGACAAACTTCATACCTTTATAGAATGAAATCAACAAAAACTGCACAAAAATACAATCGTGACAATTATACAATGAATATATTATACAATTAATTCTTTTAATAGATTGCCTTAGCATGCACTTCTTTAAAAGCCATTGTTCTTAAGGAAAACAAAATCATGCAAAATATTATAGACTTTTCTTTATCTAGAGCAATGGCCTTTGGAGAAAAAAAAATGGCTGAAAATTTTTTAGTTTGTTAAATATAATGTATGTGCATTTAGGACCCTACATTGTAATTTCATGCGAAAAGTGCAGGCGTTTACTACACGGGGATCTGCGTACATATTTAAACAAAAAAGGGGGAAAACGTTTTATGTGATGAATTATATTATAAACATTTATCTAATAAATGTCTTTGTAGTACGTTAGATTACAAATTTCACACAAAAACCCATCAACAATATTAAATACAGTTTTGATTTCACATTGATCTATTAACGTCATTCTGATTTAATATAATTATACACGACGAGAATTAAGATCTATTCAATACCTATAGAAAATTATTTAATTTCTAAAGAGGAGAGTTTTATTTTAAATCAGTAATGAAAATTGAAATAAAAATTCTTAATTCTTCTTTCATTGAACTTCTTAAATGTAGGTTATTTCATAAATATGTTCTCTTGTATAACTTTATTTATGGAATATACAATTTTTTAAATGATAAAAGAAACACGAATCATCATCTTAATTTAAAAGAATTTTCGGTCGGAGACTGTGTGTGTACATGCTCGACAACAGCCCATTGTTCCCTTTAGGTACAAAACCGTCTCAATTCACAT